CGCTTAATAATGAGCGCGCGCGTCCGGCTTTCCATAGAATCCCTACCTTGAGCCATACCAGCGCCAATAACCGTGTCCTCGGCCGAAATGTCATTAATATGTTCCCATCACCTTCCAGGCTTCCCTACACGATGGACTTGCTGGCCTATTCATCCAGTGCCAATGATATACTAGTCAGTATTTCTCTCGCACAATGTTTAATTTGATATCTCTTGGCAGCGGCCACAGCTTCCTGAACATTCGTCAATCGTCCTTCACAGAATAATCATACAGTTGGTTGCATCCTCGCTTTTCAAGTTGACATTCTTTTCTTATTCCTCTGTTCAGGCAAGATCATCCTCCTCCCTCCATAGCTCTATCAGCTCAATTAGGCGAGTCGTATAGAATCATATGGTTCTTCTTAGCGTGCCGTCCTCAGTGGGTTTAACATTGTTTGCATTACCATACAAAATACACTCGATTCTACATCTTGCCTTGGTGTGATAACTGAGCAGTACGATGCAAGTCCAATCACTCCGAGACTCGCATGCCCCCTTCGACCTTGGCTGGCCACTTTCGCCGAAGACTGGTCATAACATTGTCTAATTTAGATTCTTCCGCTAATCCTGGTCGATGATCTCCATTCCCAGCGCTTAGTGCAATCATACCAGCGTCTATCGTACTCCAGCCCTCGACAACATGGAAATACACGTGCAGCATGGCCCGAACCCTCAACCTTTTCTCTCTCTCAGCTGAACTCCATCCACAGTTTGACTCATTCCACTCACCCTCCACCTTCTCCTACTACTCATTCCGAACCTATCTCAATTTCAGATGCTGCGTGGCTTTCGTCGTTTGCTTCGTCGCACAATCACACGTAGTGGCCTAGAAGAACAATATATCAGACTTGAAGGCGAGTTCCTCCATATTGCCTTCGTATCTGTTTCATCATCCTCGCACTCTGTCTACAGTCATCAACGGAAAGAATATTCGAGTTCCTTCCGGGCGCATTCCCGCTGGCATCTACATATCCATCGACTCTTTGGGACGCTGGAAATCAGCCATCAGTGTCCTATCGTCTGATAAATCTGTAGTATGGGGAAATTCTGTCACTCTGTAAAGTTCATGCAGACTTTCGGACGCTATGCAAGAACTGATATTTGGTTTATAGATCATCGCATACATCACCTGCGTTGTCAGTGGAGATCAGAGCATCTTATGAGCTTGGTCGAATGCTAGGCGGTGGTGAGGTTGTTGGAAGACATCAAATGTCATGGGATGAACTACTCCATCATGGACATGAGTCATTCGGTGAGTGATTCGCTTCTCAATCATGCACATACACTAAGGTCTCGTAGATATATCCTTCCCACCCGTCCTCGGTGTCCACCCTTCCCTCAAGTTGAAGGCCGCCGTTGTACATGCTTGCGACGATCAGGACGACGCACTATCTGATGTAAGTGACGCTGGTATCTGTCCTGTTGGCTTTTGCTGACAGGACGCGAACTGCAGTCCCTCGTAGACTGCAAGATTGCTCGAGACACAGATGCGGGCCACGCACAATTTGCCGCATACATGATGAGCAAGAAAGTCTCTCACCTGAACGACGCTGTAGAGCATTTTCAGTTGGTTCTGGACCAGTGTCCGGTCAGCCATCCAGACCATGCAACGGCTCTCACCAACCTCGCGTGGGCCCGCCTCTTAGGCTACATCCGAAATGATGTTCAAGACATCGATGCCACCACTTCCCTCTTCCGCGACGTCCTTGCATTGCGTCCGCAGCGCCATCCCGATCATCCGCTATCTCTATATAATCTTACCGAAGCGCTGACTTGGCGCCACAACAAGAAAAGGACCGCTAGCAACATCCGCGAAGCCGCCCAACTTTATCGTGAACTACTGCCTCTCTGTCAAGAGGGTACCTACCTTCGTAGCATCGCAGCAGGGAAGAATGGTGTCGATTATGTGATTGGCGGATGTAACAATCTTCCAATAGATGCATCTGATGAGGGCATCCAGCTTCGACGAGTCGTCCTCGAGCTCTGTCCCCTGGGCCATCAACTCCGTCCGAGAGCCCTCGCCATGCTTGCACAAGCAGTTGAAGCACGCTTTGGTCAGCACGGCAGCATCGATGATCTTGACACGAGCATACAACTTCGTCGTGAAGCCGTGTCTCTGTGCCCCGAGGGACATGCTGACCGTGATACCCACCTGAACAACTTGGCCGACTCACTCACGTCGCGCTCCCATCATCAAGGCAAACCTAATGACCTCGATGAGGCCATCGCTTTGCACGAGGCGCTGCGCCCGCGCCCTGCTGGGCACAAACATCGTGATTACTCATTGAACACCCTAGGGCTCGCCCTCATCGCCCGTTTCAACAAACGCGGCGACATCGATGACATCACCCGAGCTATCAGCCTCTATCGCAAGGCACTGACGTTGCACCCACCGGGGCATTCACATCGTGACACGACGCTTAACAACCTTGCCCTCGCGCTCCAAACCAGATATGAGAAATCGCATGTTAGCGAGGATCTTAACAAGGCCATTGATTTGTATCGCGAATCCCTTCGGTTAGTGCGGCTTGACGATCCAGAGCGCCATAAAACTCTTCACAATTTGAGCTCGGCGCTCTGCTCTCGTTTGAGGCAAACTCAGAAGAATGAAGATGTCGAGGAGGCCATTGCTCTTTGCAAACAATCATTGGCAGCTCTGTCTTCATTACACCCGGATAGGTATTTCAGCTACATGCAGCTGAAGGAGGCTTATTTGTCTCGTCACGAGATTCTACACGACCCTGCTGATTTGTTACTCGCTATAGAAAACTTCAGACTAGCTTCAGGACATCCTACTCAAGGCTTTCCGAGACGCATTAGAGGCGCCTTGGGCTGGGTTGCTAAAGCTGAGAGTCATCAACACGGCTCTGCCCTCGAAGCATACCAAGTATGCCTTGAGCTTTTCGACAGTCACGTGATGACGCGATCGTCAATCATCTCACGGCGTGAGGCTGCAACCGCCTTTCGTGATGCGCGATCACTTCCTGTAGATGCGGCCTCATGTGCCATACGTCATGACAATCTACGACAAACAGTTGAACTTGTGGAGCAGGGCCGTGGCCAGCAATGGTCGCTGGCATCTCGACTCAGGACTCCAGTCGAAGACCTCGAGTCAGCAAATCCCACACTGGCGCACAATTATATGGAGCTGAGCAACCTTGTTTCCAATGCCGCACAGAGTTCTGCAACCGTCAGTGACAGAGCTGCTGCTGATCGGGAAGCAACAGAGTATAGGAGACTTACAAGGCAATGGGAAGCTGCGGTAGCTGAGATACGTGGTCTTCCGGCGTTTTCACGGTTCCTGCTTACACCTTCATATGAAGACCTGCAAGGGGCAGCGCGTCAAGGCCCGGTCATCATCCTCATTGCGAGTCAATACTCTTGCAGCGCCATCATCGTCCCGACGTCAGGAGACCCCCATCATGTTCCTTTGCCGTCCATCACTCTCGCAGATCTCAAGATTCTTAAGGATCGCTTCACCAGGGCAATACGAGATTCATCTCGGATGAACCCACGGGAGTTGAGGACGGATCTCATAGTGCTCTTGCGCGTAATATGGGACCAGATCATGCTACCCATCGTCGACGTACTCGAGCACGTCCTCAAACTAAAGCGCCGCTCTCGAATATGGCTGTGTCCGACTGCAGCTTTCACGTCAATTCCTCTCCATGCAGCTCACCCGTTTCAAACAAAGGCGGATCGTTCTGGGAAGGAGCCATGCCTGGAGGATCTCTACATCTGCTCTTACACGCCAACACTTTCGGCTCTGATCAGATCTAGACAGTTGATGAAGAAGCGCGTGCCTCCGTCCTTTGTGGCCATCGGACAGGGTCAACCGGGTGCAGGGAAGGGCAAGGCGCTCTTGGCAGTCGACAGCGAGCTCGAGCTTGTCCATAAGCTCGTTCCCGCGACGGCCAACCGCACCACTATTTCTGGCGATGAAGCCACACGAGCAGGTGCACTCTCAGCCTTGCAGCAGAACACCTGGTTGCACCTCGCTTGTCATGGCAAGCAGGATCCTAAACAGCCTTACGATTCGCATTTCGTCATGAAAGATGAACATCTCACACTGCTCGATATAATGGAGAGACATCTTCCGCAGGCCGAGTTCGCGTTCTTATCGGCTTGTCACACTGCTGTAGGCGATGAGGAGACGCCGGACGAAGTAATTCACCTCGCAGCTGGTCTCCAGTTTTCAGGGTTCAAGAGCGTCGTTGGCACGCTGTGGGAGGTCGACGATGCTGTCGCGAAACACGTCGTCGAAGCTTTTTACGGGTATATGTTTGGAGATTTGAAGAATGGTGGTGTCATGGACTGCACGAGGGCAGCCTGGGCACTCAACTGTGCTACGCACGCGGTGAAGACGAAAGTGCCACTCGAGCAGAGGATGGTATTTGTTCACATTGGTGTGTAGTTCTACGTCGTATTGTTGTCGTCTGGTATATATTCACATGTTGTTGATCTGCGATCCTCTTTCATTCTGTTGTACAAATGACCCTGATACCTATTCTTGCGCCCTAGCTATTGTGTTTTCGTATACCCTGCCGTTTTTTTCGACCAGAATGTTCACTCAAGTTCTTGTGTACTCGACTCGTCTTTTGCTTGAGTACTCAGCTAGTAGGAGCCGACTCGCGCCTTCCAATTACGCCTGAATCATTCATTGAACTCACTCAGATTTGAATTTGGTTGTTGTGTTTCTTTGCATTCGAATCCATGCTGAAGCGCTGAAGAGCTTTAATATAGCATAATAAATTAGCAGTGATCAAAAACAGGGGTACACCGTCAGATAGTTCTTGTGATACTCGTGCATCGAGGTCACGCAAGGGACTCGCGACGCTGCAAGACGCAAACGAGACCTGAGGGTAAAACAACCATCGTTTCTCTGGGCTGAATCGGACATTGACCTAACAGATAGGAATAGGGTGCTCCATTGCTGAGATTTGAGGATTCGTTCAATATATACCCTCTATTTGGTTACCCTTCAAGTATCTAACATAATCAATCCTATGCCACTTGTTTCGGGTTGCTGCAGAGTACTATCTCGAATAAGATGATGTTTTTCGTTATCAGTCATTCCCTTCATCCATCTTGTCATTCCCGTACCCATCGACGATCTCCCACAACGCACTAGCAAGCTCTTTCACGTCATCGCTCTCCAGGCCCATGCTCAGAAGCACACCATCACTCCTTCTCATCCTTGCAGTCTGTTCCACAAACCTAGCATACCCCATAAGCGGGATCGATGTAGAAGGTGCTGTGACAAGCGATGAAGCCATCCTAATCGAAGTTAGTCTAGTGTGCCGGAATATGGACGGAAAGGATGTCGGTACGGGATAAGCGGGTGCATGGATGCTAACCCCATGATATGAATGAGTTCGGATGCATGCCATACGATTGAGCCATACCTGGAATCCAGAGGTTCCTGTAGCGATGACAAGTCACACCATGCATCGAATGCTGCCAGGTCTTTATCCTGCAACCCTCGAGTTACGTTTCGCCTCGCGAAAACTGCGCGCTCGTCCTATAATTACTTATTGCTTCATCATGGTTCGTGCAATCAAGGCGTCAACATGATCCTTACCTTATTTGACGAACCAGTCGAGAAGTTGCAGTACAGATTAGTGAACGTTCCCTCTGTCGCAGAAAAAGGTAGGGGGACTATGCCACCCAGTTGTCCTAATCGAGAACATTTTCGCCAGTTCAAGTGGTCAGCGATCATTGCGATGTCCTCCTGACTGCCTTTAAGTCTGTGGGGAATCAGTTGATGATATGTTCATTGCATGTCAATGAGAATAGCATGCCTCAGTGGCAGCGTAGCAGTCTCTACCAGCGACGAGATGACTCCAGACGTATGATACAAGCTATTTTTCTGCAACGTTCAGTCAGGAAAGTATATGTAGAGTTTTGCAGGAGACAAACATCATAGGAAAGTCCCTGAGATAGGTTACTTTCCAATGCAGACCATCGGGACGGATTTAGTATTGGGAAAGTGATATCCGAAAGCTGATGCAAGCTTTGCAAGCATAATGCGTCGTTTATAATTCTCTTGGTGTCGAGAAACTACTTCCAAACGTTTGTGTGTCATCTACGTGAAAGCGCATACACTCACATTGTCGATGCCAGCATGATTCGGGTCTGCGCCCGAGAGGAAGCTAAAGTTTAGCGTAGAAGCCTTGAGAAACTCGTCGCGGAAGGAAGTCAGAAAAGCATGCGAAAAACCCCCGAAAGAGGGTGTATCGTGCATCATTTGCAAGCCCTGCAGTGGGGTTTGACTTAGCGGAGGGCTGCAAATGGCATGAAAAAGAGCCTACCTGGAAGTTATTGCAGTTCTCGACGAGCAGACGAAACGCTCCTTCCATGAGCTCTGTATCCTGGAAAAGTGTTATAAATACCACAAAATGGGGAGAAAAAGAAAGTACCTCGTTATATCGCTGGAAGACATCTTGACCGACACTCCACCCAGCCTCGATACTTTCCAGTGCGTCAGGGATGGCCTGTATAGATTTCCGATCGAAGAAAACGCGACTATAATCTGACCAGTATCTGATATTTGGGTCTGTGCGTTCCAAATCGCTTTCTTCTAGTTCGCCTTCAAGACGGGCGTGATATTCGCTTTGAGGGATCGGATCTTGTGCCTCGCGAACTACCCTTCCTTGCCTGCAAAGTATCAGTTCGTATGACAAACAGTTGTTACAATCAACACTCACCAGGTCGTATCAAGTGAAGCATCGGTAGCTATATCAGCTTGGCTCGTTTTTGCGAGTGTCCCGAAGTTTGCTGCTCAGATCCAGCTCAGACGATAGGATATCAATGCGCCAACGAAGGCATACACTTCTGGTCAAATGTCAACAGGCGCGGACAAAGAGTTGGTTGATTCTTAAGAGACGCAACGGTAGCTCACATTAAGTAGAGGACCTCACTTGGAAATGGTACACACCTGAGGACTTCGTCCCTCTTCGAACGAAAGGTCGTGGTTTACGATAGGTTCATCGTCATCTTCGTAGGTGAAATAGCTCTCCTGCGTATTCCAAAAATGTGTTCCTACGTAGTTTGCAAATGAGCCTGCTTGGATGTAGATGATTTCCCTCATAGCGTGAAGGTAATTTGAAACATGCTCGATCGGAAGTCTGACTCTGATCATCATGCCATCATGATGTTCCCACGCTGGTAGTTGAGGCAGTCAATGATCGCCTTTCGATACCCACCGGTGCACCTTTATGCTGGCTGTTCAGGCATGCATGAGTAGCTATCCGAGATTGGCTACACACATTTCCTACACGGTTTTATCATTAATCGCATCGCGGTACTGAGTTATCTCTACACCAGAAAAGTGAGCAAAACACAGTACACAGTACTAGGCTTTTGTGATCGTGCTGTTGGCACGCTTCGATAGCATCAGATACGAGGCATGAATGCATGACTCGCTGCAGACAATGTGCAAGACGAATTTCTCGAGCGTGAGGTATGCAGTATTTTCGATTTCCTGTCATGGTGACATTCAGTAAGTGGCGGGAAAAAGATAGTCTTTTATGATTGCAGGGTAGTCTACTTTGTGTATACCAGATTTCTTGTAGAATGCAATGATCGTGATCATCTTCTGCTTTGCCAGGTGTTCGGGGGAACTCACGCCAATCAATACGGGTATGACAAGGTTTTGCATGCTGCAAAATATCTTGGCCCCTCGGTGTAATCACGTCAAACTTAAAGTCGTTCGCAAGTAAAATCTGCTTCGGAAGGCCGATGACGACGCGCGCGGCATCTCCAACCAAAGGGAACACTTTCTGAGTGACCTCATGCACGAGCGCACGAACATCCGGATAAGATGTTGAGAACGCTGAGACGGCTTTGGTGAGATGGCCATAGTGGATGGATTCTATGACATTGTCAGACTGGCCAGAGATCTCGAAGAAGGGGGGGTTGAGATGGAGGTGGACGGTGATCGACAGCCTTCGAAGAATGCAGTAACAAGTATTGCAGGATATATCTACTGTAAACCATGGAGAATTAGATGAGACTATAACAATGAAGCGTGGAACTTCCCTAATGTTGACCGTCTGCCCTCTGAACGGGCACACAGCAAACCCAGAGCAGAAAACGAGCCCGCCATCCGGCTCGTTTTATGGTGATGTCAGGATGCGAGGTTCCAGCTGCCGCTGCAGTGCCAGTAACTGCGGGAGATGTAGTGGATGCCGTGGCAGTGGTATTTGGTTGCTGTGATGATGGCAGATTGCTTTGGGTTGCTCCGCCGTTATGTTGTTGCGTGGTGGGAGGTTTGTGAAGCTGAGAGGAGCTGGTAGAGGGCTTCTTTCTGGCATGATAATTCCTCTGTCAAAATGTGTTAGTGTTAAAGAACTTATAGAGAAACAAATGTACCGGCTTGCCCGCTGTTAGCGGGACCTCGACTACTGGTGGTAACCGTATAGCCGATCCATCTCGTCTGCGTAACATACTAGAGAGAAAATTTTGAGCCAGGCTAAGAATGTTGTGGGAGGATGAGCGACTGGGCCGCAGTGGTGCTGCAGTTCGGTGACCGCGTGATGTTGACGACTGTCGACATATTAGCCAATGGGACTGATCGATTATCGACTGAGGTCGCGTACATTAACATGGTCGTCAAAAAACCCTGGTGGTATTCGACGAACACCTTCAATCTTGGGTGCACGTCGTCCTGTAATATTGACCTAGGATATAGATACTCAAAAGCATGTAGAATTTCAAGAAACACCCAACTCACATCTACGAATGGCTTGACAGCCTTCTGTGATGAACAAAGATCAATAAGGCTGTTGAAGAAGAGATCATGCAACAAACCGCCTGAAAAGAATGTAAATTCGTTATAAATACGATTCGGGATGAAATGCCCGCTAGCTTACTGCAGTTAGAAGGCCATCAAGCCCAGCTTCGATGGCAATAGCAGAGACATCCCATGCGTATACGCAGCCGGAGTCGCAGCCAGTCACGAATAAGTTACCATCTGCAGCAAACACGGCGCTGGACACCTCGTCTTCATCTTCATGATGTAGGGGTGGCCCTATGCACTGATGGTTTTCGAGGTTCCATAGTTGTACTGTGTGCTTGTCAGCTGTCGGTACGCTTGCAAGGATGCGCTCATTGGGAGATAAGATAGTATCCATTGAGGAACCGGCAAGCCATTCGCCATTGATTTCAGTCCAAGTTGAGGTGTCGAACCTCCTGCTCCCGGTGATAAGCGTGCTTCCATCTGAGGTCCATGCCATGTCTGCAACGATGCCGAACTCGAGTGTTTTGAGCTGTTCACCTGTGTTGGCATCCCAAACTCTCAGCATGTTTCCTCCGGTGGAAATCATCTTTCCATCAGTTGAGTAGCGAACACCGTACACATACTCCCCAATCTCGATCGGTCCAAGGATGATCTTTCCGCTCTTTACATTCCACACTCTGAACATGCCATCCATGTTTCCGCACACCACTTTCCCTCCGTTTGGACTCCAGGAGATAGATATCACTGCGTAGTGATGATCAGCAGCTGTGTGCTCCGTCCATGTTTTGATGACCCTGCTTCTGCTAATGTCCCACAATCTCACTATGCCATCCTCACACCCGCATGCAACTGTCTTGCCGTCTGGCGACAATGCCATGGAAAGTACTCCTTTATTACTTCCTTCATCCTTCCACTCCCCGACATGCATGCCGCTCTCCAAGTCCCAGACTCGAAGTGAGCTAGATCCCATTGAACAGGTAATGATCTGCCGTGTCATATTTGGTAGCTCTATGATGCCATTCACAGGTTGAATTTCTCCTTCAAGATGCATCTTTTGGCGAGGCTTCACGGCTGACTTCTTTTGTTTTCCGATAGCTGGTGAAGACATGATGTTGGCTCGGGAAGGCTTCACATGATGGGTGCGGGTCACTTTCAGCTCTTCAAGTTAGTACGGGTTACCCTCACATAAATGTTATCACTTACTTGGAGTACTTTTTTTGCACACAGAACGCACGTGTGCGGTGAAACTTTTCTTGACGCAGACTTAAATCAGGAGGGAGGTAGCTATTTAAGTCCTCTACAGGTTGTCACGGCTTACTTTCAATGCTAAGCACAGGTTGTGCAGATCGAGCGCCCAAGTCTTCTCACGATATGTATAACTTCTTCATCGACAACAAAATGGTTACCAACAACTGGCTCGATATGATTTCCGGTCTTGATCTCTGTTCCCGAGCTACATATCGGCTCAGAGTTGAATAGGATGGTCAGATGTTTCGCATTTTCTCCAACCCTTATTCCCAACGTCCAACTCTAGCTCTCCATTATGGCTTCCCAATAGCGGCATGGAATTCCTGACGATCCTACTCCGTAATTAATCCTAATTACCTTGGTTTGTGTATTTGATGAATCGAAGGTCACGCTATGCTATTGTCAAAGAACTGAGTGAACTCTACCGTTCTGGCTGGATCGTCGCTTAGGTTCGTACCTGTCTCTGTCTGGACAGCTATATGAGATCTCCTGCAGAACCCGTGCAAGTGCAGGTGACAGGGACTGGCTTGTTTACGTGTCGGTCGATTGTTGTCATACTTCAAACGTTGACGACTCGGCGGATGATATAGAACTCGAAGACTCGTCAGCATTGTCACATCCTTCGCTGAAAAAACTAGCATAGGGAGGTGCGTCTCGGCTTCTCCCAATCCTAGCATGATGTATTCGACTGAGACAATGGTCACAAAGATCGTAGGGAATCATACTGTCTTGAATGCTTCGAAATTTGCAAGCCTGCACACGATTTGAGGCCTTGTTGCCTTCATTTATGACAATGTAGGTCGTAATGCCATATATTGTTTCTGTTCCCACTCAGAGCACTGATGTCTGTCCTAGTTCACATTCCGTACTTTCAAATAAACCTACCTATCACAACCGTCAGGCCACCTAGTGTGTAGCAAATTGCCCACCCACCGCAGCCGTTGTCTGCCTTATTAGAATATCAGTAGCGCGTATCTTGTGGTTATATTGTGAAAACTTGTCCATCATTTGACATCTCCCTAACATAATTCACCTCCAACCAATTGAAATTACTTCTCAGAGTGCTATGTTAGGTCAGAAATAGTATTACAGTTCATTTGAATCATATTGGTCCGCACAATACTACACGTTGGTGAACTAATCAACCCATACTATACAACAACTGCAGGAGAGTAATAGAGCACTAAGAGTTGCAAGACGTTGCTTCCCAATTTTAACCACCTGCGGGCTGAGTGGGTACGCAGCAAACCCAGAGCAGGAAGCGAGCCCGCCATCCAGCCTGTCGTATGGTGATATCATGACTTGTACCGGCTGCCCCTGCAGTACCAGTAACACCGGGAGGCGTCGTGGATGTCGTGGCAGTGGCAGTAGCAGGTGATTGCTGTGATGATGACATATTGCTTTGAGTCGCCCCACCACTTTGTTGCTGCGTGGTAGGAGGTTTGGTAGGTTGAGAAGAGCTCGCAGAGGCCTTCTTTCTTGCGTGGTAATTCCTCTGCATTGACATGAGACTACAGATACACTTGAAAGTAAAAAGAAACGCACAGGCTTTCCCGCTGTTAATGGAACCTCGACTACTCGTGGCAACCGGATAGCCGATCTGTCTCGTTTGCGTAGCATACCCGAAACAAAATTTTGAGCCCAACTAAGAGGGTTGCGACTAGGGTGGGTGGGTCGACGTGGCGCTGTTGTGGGGCGATCACGCGATGTCGAGAACTGTCGACATATCGGTCAAAAGGACCGCTCAAGTATCGACGGAGATCACGTACATCATCGAAAAATCCTTGCGGTACTCGACGAACGCCTTCGATTTTCTGGGCCCGCCGCCGTGTAGCATCAGCCTTGGGTGTCAATTCAAGACATGCATAATGTCAAGAAAAATAACACATACATTCAACATTGATTTGTTGATGACATTCTCAGGCTGTAATGGACAAATATCATTGGGTACTCAGGCAGTTGAAGAGTCCCGACACAACATACCACCTGAAAGGACGGAGCAGATATGTTGTCAGGGTGATTGAGAATTAGATGAATCAGATCAGCAAAGCTTACATTGTCCAACATAAGGTTATCAAGACCAGCTTCTTTTATGATAGCGGAGATATTCCATGTGTATATGTGGCCATCGATACAGCCGGTGATGAGGAACTTTCCATCTGCAGAAAAAGCCACGCCTTTCACCGACTTTTCATGGTGGAGGGGTGGTCCGATAAGCTGATCGTTTTCAAGGTTCCATATCCGTGCTGTACTGTCGTTCGATACACTTGCGAGGATACGCTTATTCGCAGATAATATAATCTCAGTAAGTCTGTTGTGCCCCTTGAGAAAAGTAGTTTCGGTCCAAGTAGAAGTCTCAAGCTTCCTGATTCCGCCATCCATGGTGAGGATAAGTGTCTTTCCCGGACCATCAATGGAGGTCCATGCAATGCGCAAAACTTTTCCCTCAATTGTTTTGAGTAATTCGCCTGTGTTGGCATCCCAGATTTTGAGCCGGAGTCCGCTCGTCGCGATCATCGTGCCATCGGGAGAGTAGCAAACCAAGACAGGCATGTTTGATGTTGCCTTGATTGGTCCGACAATAGTGTCTCCGCTTTTGACGTCCCACACTCTCCACGTATGATCCAAGGATCCGCTCACCACTCGCCCTCCGTCTGGACTCCAGCACACAGACCACACCAACCTTGTGTGACCTATCCATTTCTTGACAACCTTACCCGTGTCGATATCCCACAATCTCACTACGCCATCATGACTCCCGCTTGCTACCGTTGTGCCATCCGGTGACAATGAGATGGTGGCCACTACTCCACTTCCTTCATCCTTCCAGGCATTCCCGACCTGTGTACCGCTCTCCAAGTCCCAGACTCGAATCGAACCATCACTTGAAGATGTGAGAATTCGCTGTCGGCGACTGGGTAGCTGTAGGATGCCCGTGACACCTTTAGTGTGTCCTTGCATCTTTTTGATATGCTTTATCACTGGTTTCTCAGGCTCTTGCCTTGCAGTGGCCATTGAAGACATGATTTTGGCTTGGGGGCTTCACCTAATGGGCGCGGGACGATTTCAGCTCTGACCCGTCAAACAAATAACATCACTCACTCAACAAATTGTGTACAGAACAAATTGAACGCGAAGTGAGAATTGCAATGGAATGAACGTTTCACTCGATAATACGGCGTTAAATCAGGAGGTGCATCCTGGAAATATGCTGATCAAGTCTCGTTTGCTCACATTGTTTCTTCGTCGATCCCATCATTCAGGCAAGCTGTAGCATGCATACGCATACAGTGGCACACCGCGATTTTGTTTCAATTCAATTCTTTTGAAATTGGTTGTGTCACATGATGTCTCACAATCCCACGCTACCTTCATTCCCTTGTTGCTGGACCAATATGCGCATAATCCCAGTCTACTTCCTTTATCCTTCCTTCCATGCCTCTCTGATTTGCGTGCCGCTGTCACTCGAAGTGAGCTATTCTCTGAACAGGACATGATGCATTGCATGATCCGCCGTCTTCCGGGCAGCCTGCCGCCTATGACGTTATTTACGAATTCAGTTTGTCCGAGTCTCAACGAGGCTTTGTCGCTATGAATTTACCTGCTTCGTACTATGGGTGAGGGAGCCCGCGTGTTTTTTCACATACATAATCGCCACGGGATAGCTCCATTAATATGGACAAACATTAATCAAAAAGTTGTCATTACTGAGAGAGACTTGTTCAGTCCACAGATCTACAGAAAGAGCGCGTCAAAATTAATACTGCAATGGACCGAACATATGTTCAAAGTGTTGGGTCGCTAACAAAGTCCTGTACTTAAGGTATGACTTCCGTGTTGTATCCAATAAGTATCCTCGCGTTCGCTTCACCGTAGCTTGAGAACGGGCTGTGTCCAAGTCTCGTTTTCGCGCATGCTTGAAAATCGGATTCAACTTGTTGTCGTATTGAGAAAAACTGATTGCTAGGAAGCCGCGATATCTTTGCCTCTACTCGCGGGAGGGGCCAAAATGACTTTTGACTTTCCCCAACATTCTCACCGAATGCTCACCGAACCATGCGTCATAGACCAGCATTGAGCGCTGAGCATTAATGCATATGCCACGATGCTTCGTGTCACAATCTGATGCTCTTCCTCCTGTTGCGCTCTACTGACAAAGTGAGCTTCTTTTGGGTTATGCTTGTGATGAGGATGCTAATGGTAATATGGCGCTGTGGAAGGGTGATCAATTGACGTTTGGTGGCGAAGTCGCTTCGGCCAATTTCAAGTTGACTTTACCTTCGACAGACTGAGTTGGATTATGTTTGAACTTGCGCAGAAGGTAGGGACTTCTTTTATCATCATTTGCCTGTGCACCTTTGCTCGTCAGATGACATGCTCTAACATGGTCAACCCCAGACTTCAAATTGAAGACAGATGGCGCCATTCCTTTTAGCTGCTCCTGAGTGGGCTTACTTTGATGTTTAACGCTTCGACTCGCCCTATAAAAGTGAGCGGGAAATCTCGAAACTTCCATCGTCTCAGGTTATACGAGATATCTGCATCAAACAGCTCCTCTACAATGAAGTTTTCTTCAACTGTCACTCTTCTCTCTGCCTTCGCCCTCCCAGTATTCGCAGACTCCGTTTTTGTTGTACCGAACGCTAATTACAGCAACCCCAACGCATCCCTCTCTACCGTCACTTGCTCGCGTTTGTCACTGCATTACGCCAACTTTTCCTCCATGCCTTCCTTCCCCAACATTGGAGGCATTCCAGGTGTCGTCTCGAACTCCACCTTATGCGGCTCCTGCTGGAGCCTTACGCCTGCCCCACCCTGCAGCGGCCTAACTACCCTCTACATCACCGTTATTGATGACGATTCCAGTCTCGTTGTTGACACTGCCAAAGACGTCAACGCTACCGTATACGCCATCTCACAGCAGGCGTACGGCAACTTGACTCACGCTTCCTGCAATGTGAACGCAGTTTATGCCGAAGCCGCTCAGGTCCATGCTAGCATGTGTGGCATGTAGAGGCGAGCGTGTTTCATCCTCCTTGTTTTGCAAAATTAGAGCTCTGATTCGATGTTCAGCCCGTATAAGCTGCTGTACTAGATGGTACTGGCACTGGGATGGCTGATGTTATCGAAGAAGATCTAGGGTTTTTTGGGCTTTGAGTGGGGTTGCTTATACGTCGTGGTTTGTAACTTGGAAAGCGAGGTGCGGTGTGTTTGACAGGGTGTCTGTCCGTATTTGTTACACTTCATAGTAGAATCAAACGCACCACCAATTTCACTTCCTGTATTTGACCATACCGGGACACTTGACCCGGGTAAGACAGCAACACCTATCAGTTCGTACAATCATCTTGCAACTTATTTTTTTCCACTGAGGGCAGTCTGGAAATAATATTGTCTACCTGCATGGTGCAGATTTGTGCATGCAAGACATTTGCTGGATCTAAGCAAAAATGATAAAACAGCGTTAAGTCATTGATACTCATCGCAGGACCATCAAAATGTTGAAATTGGCTCTGTGGGCTCACGAAAAACTTCAAGTAATCAATATGCTGGGCGCAATCTGGTCAGTAAAAGAACCTGTATACCATCCGGTGATACTCCCACTGGGCGAACAACTGAAATAATAATATCAAAGAAGTGGATAGCGCTGTACACAAACATCGTAATACACTATGTCATACAAAGTAGGGCATTGTATTCTGCGGGTGGAACCGTTAGCGTGTATTCCGATAGCTTTTCGGGAAGCGAGTATCTACTCACCATCTTTTTTGTTTGCATGCCCTTATCTCTCTCGTTCTCGGGAGCGGCATCATAAACAGTGAAATCTCTACTTCCATCCTCTTTTATTGTTAGTATTGACGCCATGTTACCGCATCGGTAGCAGTAATTTGGTGCAGACCACACGGTAACGAGCTGGTCATCAAACATGTATTTGTACCCTTCTTGCACAAGCTGATGTGCACGAGCGATGAGACTCAAAGAGTTAACATGATTGAACTGAGAAAGGTCAGTGTGACATTAGATTTAGGGATAGATAGACGGACCTCCCGCGTCACAGTTCTGCCAAATAGCCAACCAGCTCCGCGCGGACTGACAGCCCAAGTGTCGATGTCTTCCGGATCAGACCACATGAGGTCTGCGAAGGTAAATCAGGAGGAGGAGCCGAGTGTACATCAATAAGTTCTGACCACAGAAGGCACCTTCATGAGGGATTTCCTGAGCACGCGAGAGGACACGAATTTGATCTAGAGTTCGAATGTCTGGTGATAGGCCACCATGCACGCACAAAGTCTCTCCATCTATTATCTATAGAAGATTTGAGCGTTTCCATGATGTGTTGGAGCGAAGCTTACAGCAGCAAGATTGAGGAAATCGAATACACTACAACATGCCTTCCAAACAGCAGCGCTACCGTACTTTTGTTGGCATTCATCTATGCAACAAAATTATCAGTACTATCAGAAAAGCACCACTGCGCCGATAAGCATCACCATAAAACCCATACACCTGTGTGATTTGTCTACTTTCATGATTTCCACGGAGGAGAGTGACTTTATCTGGGTATCTAAAAAAATTCAATACAGATACAGCGATTGGCTATCTGTGACAATACCGAGCTTTCAGTGCCAGCAACAAGGAGACGGTCTCCAAACTATAATGCCCTCGGTCGACAAAGTCACCCTGATCGACATTAAGCATGTTCAACCCTCGAATCACAAGCACACATACGTGCCATAAAAATATAACTCGTCTCTGGGACCTGTCCACCCTTTCGCAGCAACTCGAGTAAGTCCCAGAACTGACCATGAATGTCGCCGCAGATGGTGACTGGACTAGAAACCGGCTGAATATTCGACTCTTCCATGAGTATAGCGCGAACACGGTCGCAAAGGACTTTCATATCGGGTTCTGGGAGGTGGCGACATTCCATGAGTTGGTCTATCCATTTGTCGGGGTTATAGGAGGGCATATAGATGATAAATATTAGAGCTGATTTATTGTCGTGTCTGACTCGGTGTTGTGCTGTACAATATATTAGCTGAAGGATCGTGCAGAAAGAACTAAAGGAGGTCGTGAGAAAGCAAGTCCTAACCTGCTAAGTAAATGTCAACGTGCAACTCAAGTGCAACCTAGACATACGTCAAAGGCTTACATAGGTGCTCTCACCATTTCTTATAAGCTGGTCATCCCTCTGGCGACACCAGAATCCATTGGCCCACGCGAATCTAAATCCTTTCTTCCATGCGCTGCCTGCGCCAGCTCTCCCTCGTTTCGCTGTGTGTCACAGCATGGGCTCTACACGAATCTGACGTGGGTGTGGTGGATTGGAATACGAAATTGATCGGTGTACCGCTTCTTGGCTCTCCACATACTGCACCTGCATTACATGGTGATTATGTTCTGACTGCTACGAGCAACAATGTGTTGGCAGCGTTGAACATCACGGATGGCTCTATAGGTGTGTGCCCCATTCTGACTCTGACTCTACTAACGCGTTTGTAGTATGGAGAAGTATATATGATACGGAGGATCCGATCATGGCTTTCAGCCACAGTGATAATAGTGCGTCATGATGCCAATTTTGAGTAAGTTTACGTGTTAAACATGGGACTAGGCGTGTCTTCTCTATCTGGACCGGGAGGGTCAATTTTGCGCACGTATGACCTGAAAACAGGCCACCTCATGTTGGAGAAACAACTACACAAACCGGTAGATGGACGACTCCACGAACCTCAAAATCTTGGAATATCGTTACTGCGTTCTACTGACCCCTCCCTTAACTCAACGGTTTACTTCGCATTGACAAATGGAGACTCTGTCACCCGTCTGAATGAGACTGGGGAGACTCTGTGGTCATGGAACTCTCCCGATCAAGCGTGTGTTTTTTTGTATCATACAGTTCTCACTTCATTGATGTCGATTAATTAGGTCCTTGGTTTTGTACTCTCACATCATTGCCGATCCTTCAACCGTGTATCTCGTGGGACTCGCGAAATCATTTGCATCCTACACTCTGCACGTAACGACCTTGTCAGCGAACACGGGCGAAGTCATCGCGTCCGTCAACATTCCGGCGAACATAAAAGATGAAACATCCAAATTCGTTGCTATTAGCTCTCACATAGGACCTACAACTACTGTCTGCGTCAACTGGCTTGAAGACGGTGTTCTTAAAGCTGCCATATTAACCCCTGATTTGAAGGGTCAAGTTATGGCTCTTCCGGGCGTCAAATACGTTAGGATTAGTGAGTTCGGCCTTTCGAATAACGGACAATTTCTCGCAATCAAGGAAGGAGGTGCTGCGCACGTTATGCATTTTGACGTACAGGCATCTTCCCTTCGGCCAATCTGGGAATTCGGTGACGCGGTATGTTTCACAATCCATCTTCGTACCATCAATTACTGAGGGGTACCTAAGGCCCCTTCGCAGGCTCAATCAGATTCTCATTTCGTGGGAAGCCTTAGCCGAGATGGCCAACCGCGAGTTGCGCGTGTTTATTGGTCGAACGCTCACAATGTAAGACCCTTCTGCATCCACTAGTGTTTCCTATGCAACTAGAAATTTAGAAAGTCGTCCACCAAACTCTTGCCATCGACTTATCTGAGGGCAAAGCCTCTTCCTCTGGTTTTGCGTTCCCCTTCGAGACGCATGAACATGGTGTCATCCGGCACGTGAGTCCACTCTACAATTATTCCAGGGTCAGATTTGAGTTAGATCTAGGTGGCGTTTGACGGCTCGAGCACGGGGAATACGCACGAGAACACTCGTACGTTGCTGACCACTACGACAGGCTCAATACAACTTTGGCAACATGACAAAATGCAGTGGGTTCGGGAAGAAGCTATGGCATCCATCCAAGTCGCAGAGTTCGTGGAACTTCCTGAGAAGAAGGCTGTTATGTCCCATGCTTTTGTGGATGAGGAAGGTTACTTTGAGCGGCTTCAGCGTCAGTTATCTGATGCCAAGGTACAAGGTCCGCGTATATTGAAGTCGCTCGCGCTCAATGTTTTTTCAAGAACCTTCCTCAATACTTAGCAAACTTTGCTCGACGCTTTGCGACTGGCTCATATGCTACTGTGACTACGTCAGCTGCATCTTCCTCGGATGAGGATACGCTCACGCGCGACGCTTTCGGCTTCCGACAGATCATAGTAGCAGCTACAGCGTATGGGAAAATTTTCGGTATTGATTCTAGCAATGGTCGCGTCTTATGGAGTCGCGTGCTTGGTCTTGGCTGGGCAGCAAAGGTTGGTGGGACAATAATTCCCATCAAAATGTTCGTCACACGGACAGTGAGCGATCCAGAAGGACCTCAAATAGTGCTCGTCACACAACGTCGGGCTGACAATGTGAGCTACATTCTCTTTTCAGCCAAGATTTACGTTGACGAGGTTCAGTCTCTTATTGACACCGTACTATTCCATGTGAATGCACTTACGGGAGACGACGTCAGAGATGAGCATCAGTCTATTCCTGGAGCTGCTTTGGAAGGCCTCGATGCTGTCATGGGACCATTAGTTGATGTTTTCATGCTTCCCAATGAGAACAAGACCATAGTCATGCTCGATGAATACCTTCAGGTGTGTTGTGGTTCTTTGCCTGAATCTACGAGTCTGACGGTCAATAGGCGCGCCTTTATCCGGACACTCCATCAGCTCAGGCTGAGTTTGAATCATTCGTCCCGTCCGTACATCTCGCTCTCCGCGCGGATGTATCTGGCCGGCGCCAGATCTTGGGTCATCAACTCGCCCTCAATCTCGAATTGTCCCAGTTCTATGTCGCCTATCCAACATGGACACTTTCGCTGCCCCCAAAAGAGGAAATCAACAATATCATTCCGAATACACGCGGTCCCGTTGCATCGATCGGAAAGGTCCTCGGAAACCGTATGACGTTGTATAAGTATCTCAACCCCCACCTGACATTGGTCCTCACGTCTTCCGCGCCGTCTAGCACATGTGGGATATATGTGTTGGATGTGGTCAAAGGCAGTGTGATTTACCATGCTAGTGTCCCTGCTGCCAGTGGCGTGTGCGACGTGCAAGCGACCCTCATTGAGAACTGGTTGGTATACCATTACTTTGACGACGATTTTTCTGGGACTGGGCAGAGCAAAGGATATAGTGTCGTCTCTGTTGAGTTTTACGAGGGTGATGGACCAGATGACAAGATAAAAAGGTTGGCCTTTTGCTAGTGAATTTCGGGTATGAGACTGACGTTTTGAAATA